CATCAAAGTTATTTGAAAATGAAAAAGAGTACAGTGTTGTGTTCCCATTTCACAAGTGAGAAAACCAAGCTTTGCTTTAAATAAAAATCCATCCCAAAAGGAATCCTTAAGCTGAAGGTTGTTCAAGAGTCCTCAGCAGCAGATGACAAGCACAAGTAAACTGCTTTCAACAGATCAAGCAAATGATGCCATGAAGTACTCAGCTTCACCTAAGACAGAAGAATAAAATCTATGGGTCCTGTACTTAATCCATATTCTCCATTCGTGTAGTTTTCATTATCTTCCTTCTTATTTTCTCCTAACACCTATAAGTATCCACATATTGTTAACATGTGCCTACTTTCCCTTTTTGATCTCCTTAACATTGGCTTTTTCTTGTGCTGCCTTTATTTATCTATACTCAAGGTCCCTAAACTTTAGACAGCTTTTATTGAACTGATTAGTCAGTCTTAAAATCTTTCTACAAAATTGTGGTTTATAATCAGCCATCTTTTCCCAGTTTCCTCTTCTCATTCTTAAAAATTCCACAGCTTCCAAGTTAGTTGTTTTTAATTTCTACAATGTTAGGAAATTCTGCTTGTAAAAATTCATGCATTTTTTTTTCTCTTGCAATTCTTCAGACTTTGATTTCCTAGGTTCTGGCTTCTGGCTATATTTCATTTGCTTGGTCAGCTTTGTTGGCACTATTTTAAACTCTCATTTTCCCCACAGAAAATGCATCACAGGGTGTTGCCACCTGGGAACACTACAGTTTTATACATGGAAAAGTCCCAATCAAATTATTTTTCTTACAGCTACACCTTTTTCTTGACCTTGCATGGAAAGGATTGCCTCAGTTCACTTGACTAGTCCTCAAAAGACATGGATATTGTTTTGGGGAAAAGGAGCCCTTTGATATTGCCTAGGACATTCTACAGGCTTAGTCCTTGCCATATCTGTGGCTCAATGGTCCCTTTAAACTGTTTACATTCTTCTGTTCTCTTCAGTATCCATCACTGGTCTTGACATTGCTCTGGTAACTACATCTCCTGAAAAGGCAGGTGACATCAAAACTCTGCTTTTCCTTTCATTACTATACTTTTCCTTTCAATGCTAGACATGAAGATACCCCTGAAAAGAAATCACCAGCACTTACTGCTAGAGAGAGGAATTTAAATAGTTTTTGAAGGTAGTTGAGTTACATATACAGTAAAACCCTGCTCTGGTCCTTATGTAAAACATTGGCTGGTAGTTGTGCAGGTGGGAGGCAAGGGATTGTGGGGGAAATACAAGGGAGGAGGCAACAATGCTCAATAGGAAATGTACTCATTACTTTGCTAATCAGGAAGTTGGGAGAAGATAGTATTGCCAGTCTTTCTTCTATTACCCTTATTACTAGTTCCACCTTTGTAACTGTTAGTTCTTATGGATGTCCAGGTATAGTTTTCCTGTCAGGGGCCATTTGGATATTAATAACATTCACTGGCCATAAAAAATTCTCAGTAAAAGCAGATGGCCTAGGGCCATACATGTCCTGTCCTGTCCTGTACCAGATGATTTCATCGGCCTTATTATATGGCCCACAGGCCAGACGAGTCTATCCAAGTATGACAAAAGTCAGTAGGGTGTATTTTGAACAACAGCATCTTACTAGTTGGCTGAATTGTTTGCTTGTATGTGTAACCTGGATTTTTTTAAATCTACTGTTGTAATTTGGATGAGTGGCAATTAGCTTTTTGTTTCTATTTTGCAATCCTGTGAATTGAGTCCATGTCTTCACTTATCTACATGAAAATGGCCATAAACTAGTTCTGTGAAGTAAAAACATGCATACTGAAGAAGTTGAAACTCTAAGCAAAAAGTAAATTAAAAAAAGAAAAAGGAAGTAATGTATGTAATTCCACAGGCAAAGTCAAAGTTCAACACAATAAACACCAGGAAACTGATACTTGAAAGGAGTGAGAAGGGGGGAGTCAAGGGGTCAAGGAGAGAGGGGTAGATAAATGAACAGTAGAAGGGTAGGTGAAGAATGCAGTCAACAATTGAATGTATGTCCTACAAAGTTCTAAGAAAAGCTAGGGAAGGGGTAGGCTAAGAGGGATGGGTGAGAATATTGAAAGGGATGACATTGACCAAGATACATTGCTTTGTTAAATAGAAATTCCTTTGTAAAACTACTTAAAGATAATAAAATAAAATAAAAATCTCCACAAGGTGCTACTTCAGTAAATAATTTAACTTTTAATGGACTTTATTTTTTAGAGAAGTTTCAGATTCACAGCAAAATTGAACACAGGGTACAAAGACAATTTAAGGTTTGGGATATGCCTCAGGGTCAGAGAACTTGCATCTTATCTACAGCAAAAGGCACTAGAGGAAGACTCAATAGTAGGGAATCCCGGCCTATAATTAAAACTAACAAAGAAAATACTGACATTTGTGTAATGAACAACTAGAGGTAGTATATTTCTCTTAAACTTTCTGAAAAAAATAAAACCAGATTTGTGGTGGGGGAATGCTTCATGCATATTTTTAAATGAAAGAGGTTTTGTTTTCTTAAAGATATTAATACATATAAATTACTGTACAACAACACAGAAAGCACAGATAGAGTTAACATGTTCAAAGGCACTCAGGTTCAGTCACAGTATAGTTAACATAGACAATTAGACAGTTATTCACCTTGACATCTTATAAAATTGCCTTGACATTTCACATTGTTAGTGTTGTTTAAAGAATTGCTTTATTGTCTACAAATTTTAAAGACCCGTCATAAAATGTGCTTATATTTATTAAACATGCTCTAATTACCACTAATTACATCACTAATGAATTACCCTTGAGAGATATTTTAAGTGCCATTTTTTATTATAGCTAAGAAATCCTTCAGAAGGTCATAAGAATGTAAGGATTCTTTGTTGTGTGTGTGTGTGTGTGTGTGTGTGTGTGCTGCAGTAATGGAGTTTGAACTCAAAGTGCTATTTTTTATTATAGCGAAGAAATCCTTCAGAAGGTCATAAGGATGTAAGGATTCTTTGGTGTCTGTGTTTGTGTGTGTGTGTGTGCGCGCGCGCTGCAGTAATGGAGTTTGAACTCAAGACCTGGCCCCTGGCCCTTAGCTTTTTCACTCAAGACTAGCACTGTGTCACTTTAGGAACAGCTCCACTTCTGACTTTTTGGTGGTTAATTGGAGGTAAGAGTTTCACAGATGGCTAATTGGAAATAAGAGTCTCACAGACTTTTCTGCCCCAAATGGCTTCAAACGGAGATCCTCAGATCTCAGCCACCTAAGTAGTTAGGGTCACAGCTTAAGAATGTATTTTAAATGAAGTGGAAACTGACAAAAATCTCCTTTGAGGAATAAGCCATAGGTGTTCTGTTGGGGCTTCTCATTTTTTCATGTTTTTTCCATTTTTTTAATTAACTTTTTTATTTTGAAAATACTGTACAAAGGGGTTACAGTTACATGAACAAGGTAATGAGTACATTTCTTATCCAGCATTGTTGCCTCCTCCTTTGTTTTTTCCCCTACCATCTCATTATTTTTATAAAATTTGAAATTATATGATTTTATAAAGATTTCAGTATTTTTGAGAAAGTGACATTATCTGTTAAAAATTATAAACTTAGCTTCCCAAAGCTAAATTAAAATCATACACATTGCCTAAAGAACACTTGCCATTACTCTCAATTTGATGCTAGATATATTTTATGTACAGAGAATCACATGCTAGCTCATCTGATTAGACTGATTGTCTTATAAAGAAAAATATCCTTTCACCAGGATACCATTGTTATAAAATTATTGCTGAAACCCAATCAGCTGAACAAATGTTCAACAAATTTTGTACATCATGCACTCTGTTGTCAAGTTTTAAATAAAATTCATTATGAATGTCATGTTAAGTATAAAATGTATGGCATAAACTGAAGTCCCTGTTTAGTATGAGATTATGTTTTTCTTGGTAAACAAGTACTTTTTAACAAAAACTATGGTAGAAAGAACGCCTCCCAATTAATAATTTTTTAAGTAAATAAGATTGCAAAGGTCAGTTTGAATATTCTAAATTATTTTATGAATACTCTGAAAAATACCAGATGTAATTGGTAATGATTTAGAAAATGGAAGTATGTCCTTTCCTTTATGTAGTTCTATTAATCCTTCAACTAAAAATACTCCATTTATAAGATAAATAAATATTATTCTTTCTCTAAATCTCTATACAAGCCTGATAATTATAATAACCACAAAAAGAAATTGCATTCTTGATTTGTTTGAAAAAAATAAAACAGTATTGAGAAGCCATCAACTGTGCCTGAAATATTTTCTTAAGTTTTAATCAATTATATTAGCATGACTAATTTCATGAAGACATTCAGATGCTGTTTATAGTACTATAGCATATGTGCTCTTTGATCAAATAGGTTTATTGTGCAAATGTGCTAAAAGAATTTCCCTGAGATAAATTATCTTGCTAGTCCAAAGAAAAAACTGTAAAACTTTATTTAGATTTCAATCTGAATTAAAATACCCACCCCAAATGAGTGTTAATAATTCTTCTATCATGAGTTGCTAATGTGGGCATGTCTTTTCAGTGGACTGATTTACAAATTAATTACTAAATAATGAAATCAGAAAACTTGTTTAAAATTAAACTTTCAAAAACATACATACAAAAACAGAAACTTACAAAAAGATATTCAACAATACATAAAGATACATATAACAGCCTTTAGAAATAATTAAGTTACTTCTCCAAGTTTGAAGATCCACCATCTCTTTTAAGCTTTTAAGGTACACTAGCATTCAATTACTTCAAAAGCAGAAAAATATATATTTAAAAAGTAAAATGTTTTCCCAAATACCCATATGGCTTATGCAAGAGATTTCTTCTTTACTTTGTTAAAGATCAGACAAACATGAATTAGTTTAGAGGATTGTTCTTTCATTTATGAGACCAGATTGGATCTCACTCGAGAATTTTCAGTTTGGACATTCATTCACAGGAAAGAACTTCTCTCTAAATGGTCTCAGAAATGCTGCTGAGATATTCTTCGGACTTCATGATAAAATTTGTCCACTCCTGACAAATGTCCTCCATGGAGAATTCCTCACCACCATATTCGAGAGGAAGAATTTTGGGGAAATGCTGAAGTAAACTTTGCTTGTAATTGTTCCCATGCATATGAATCTGAAATAATCAAAATGTTTTAGAAGATATGCTCCCCCAATTGCCTTTCATCATTTCTGGTGGGGAAACCAATGGACCCCATTAAACAGGATATGCTAACTTCCAGGTTAGAAAGGTACTTGATTACTTGTCTTGTTCAGCTCTGAATCTAAGATTTCTGCTTATGGTAACATTGTGCTGATGGGAGTCATATAATTTCATGACTCCCTTACATTGACATTTTATTGTTGTTGCTGTGCTCCTGTGAGGGCTTGAACTCAGAGCCTGGGCATTGTCTTTTAGCTTTTTCTCTCAAGGCTGGCACTCTGTCTCTTGCACCACAGCTCTACTTCCAGCTTTTTGCTAGTTTATTGGAGATAAGAGTCTCACCGACTTTTCTGACCCAACTTGTTTTGAACCATAATCCTCAGAACTCAGCCTCTCAGCTAGGATTATAGAAATTAGCCACCGGTGCCTAGCTTTAGCTTGGCATTCTTACAACTGCACAAGACACTAAAATATACTAACTGGTATTAATTTAAAGTAAGTAAAAGCACACATTTAAGCCCCTAATGATTTATGTGGTATAACCAATGGATTCTCTTGGCCAGTGTATCAGGAAAGTATGATGTTAGAGAACCTTAAATATTTACATATTATAAGCTTTAAAACTTGGCTATACACTTTCCTAAAGATAAAGTCATAGGAACCAAAAGCAAACCTCACTAAAACCAATAAATAAGTAAACTTTTTCATTGCTAGGAGAAAATGCTCATCTGTGCACTGAAGAACAACTTAATAAGGCCCTGGGATGTCCTGGGATGTGAGGGCTGCTGAAGGAAATAAGCCTCTTCTACCTAGGAAGCTCATAATGACAAGTTTGGAATTTTTCTGAAGTATCAAGACATTAATCCTAGATCATTTTCTCAGGAAAGAGGAAACATGAACACTTTTATAATGTTTCCAGAATGCTGAAAAGGAAAAAAAGAAAGGCTAGATTTAGTTATCTCCTTTTTTTTTTTTTTTGGCAAATCTGTTTTATGTCAATTAAGTTTCACTGAAGTATCTCACTTAAGTTCTCAATTTTGAAATTTCTCTCTCCATATTATCCTTTTCAATTAAGTCCAATACATTCTTCGGTTTTTTGTTTTTTTATTCTAGAATATCACTCAAAATAACAATGCATATTTTTTTATTGTGAATATACCATACAGAGGGGTTACAATTACATGGGCAAGGTATTGAGTACATTTCTTATCAGGCTTTGTTGCCTCCTCCTTCCCACCCCTTCCCATCCTCCATCCCTCCCCCTGGCACCTCCCCATCCACCAAAGTTGTAAAGTTTGTTTTTCTACATACATCTCATTGTTGGGAGTGTGTCCACCTGTATCCCTATTTAAACAATTGGTTTTTTCCCTTCCCCTCCACAAATTATACCAACATCAAATACAGTGAGAACAGGGGTTATACCGTGGCATATTTTTGTTTATAAGACTTAAACCCAGGGGATGGGAAGTTGGCTCAGTGATAGAGTGCTTGCTTTGCATGCCTGAGGCCTTGGGTTGGATTCCTCAGCACCACATAAGCAGACAAAGCAGGAAGTAGCACTGTGGCTCAAGGGGTAGAATGCTAGCCTTAAGCTGAAGAGCTGAGGGACAGCACCCAAGCCCAGAGTTCAGGCCCCACAACTGACAAAAAAACAAGAAAAGACTTAAACCCAAGCCTGCTACTTGTTTGTAGTTGCACAAAAGAAAGAGTGAAAACAGTGTGGTCAACTATTTTCTAACCACACTGAAGATGGGGGGAAAAAAGGATCCAAAACTGTGACTTTATAAAAAAAGAAAAAGCTAGAATGAAAAGTGACCAAAAATTTCCAGATTCACAAAAGTAGATAATTTAGATTCTTCTTCAGATAGAAACAGAACAGAATAACAGATAAAGAAGCTCTAGGATGTTAATTTTCTGACCATATAAGATATATTTTCTTAAGATAAAAGAATATAGTTTATGGGCTTGGAAGGTGGGTCAGAGGTAGAGTGCTTGCCTTGCACGCATGAAACCCTGGAGTCGACTACTTAGCACTACATAAGCAGAAAAAGCTGGAAGTGGCACTGTAGCTCAAGTGGTAGAGCGCTAGTCTTGAGCTGAAGAACTGAGGGAGAGCCCAGGCCCAGAGTTCAAGCCCCACGACCAACCAAAAAAATATATATAGTTTATAAAATTCTAAATGTCAAGTTGTAATCATATTATTATTTATATGTAATTAATTTTGTGATGTTAATAGCAAAAGCCTTTCAAAACTATTTTTCAACAAGGCACAGTGGTGCATGCCTGTACTACCAGTTACTTGGGAGACTGAGGTGGGAAGACCACTTAAGCCTAGGCATTTCAGCTACACATTTCATTTTAATCTGTATTTTACATAATTAGAAGTCAAATCAGGATGAAAAAAATTCACAAGGAGAAAACTTGCTACTAACTCTAGCTCCATGACTCCAGCCTACCCATCCTAATTTACCTGCACTCTGTTCCCTGTCGGTATCTTCCTGAATATCGTTTAATGTAATTGTTATGAAACTATAATTATATATTCTGGTTCTCCCCTTTTGGTAGAAAAGGTTGCATACATTAAACCCTAGCCTGCATGTTGTGTATTTTATTTTGCGTACAGCCTGAAATCTTGTATTCTAGTGTGTGGTGTTTGGATGAACCATAGTTTACTTAAGTGTCCTCTTAATGGTGAGTACTTGATAGTTTCCAATCAGTGCCAGCAATAAATATTCTGTATATGTAACTTTGTGTACAGGTAAAACTGTAGGATAATGTCTCCAATGTACAGATTTTGGTATCTATTGCCACACTGTCCTCTAGAGGTGACATTTGGATTTGCACTCCAGCCAGTAATACATGAGAGGTCTAGATTCCCATTGCCTTCTAACCACCATGCTTGTTTAAAATTACAACTAAATCTTAATTTATACGAGTAGCTGGCATATTAAAGATTCAGAATAGTAGGCCAATGCTACAGGTTGATGTTCGTGGGGAAGATAATCAAAAAAAATCCTTAAATGATAAAAGCTTGCAATATTCAATCTGCAGAATCAATGACTTGAATATGTTTTACTCACCCGTTCCTTAATTTTTTCGGTCAGAAATGGTTTAATCATGGAAAAGACAGCATGAAAAATTACTGGCTCATTTATAAAATGTATGCCACGAACTTTCAGTGGAAAGGAATCCTTTTGAAAATAAAGTAAAAAACATTTTAATAAGAAAACAAATATTGCAATTACATTTCTTAAAACAACTTTCTTTTTTGAATAATTTCTAAACCTACAGCAACACCTGTGACTTTTTAAATAATTATTCCACCAGCACAAAAGCCTGGCTTACAGTTTACCGTTACTAGTATAAAAAAAGATTTCTTAGTTTTTCTTGCAGTTTAGACTAAGCACATACATTCACCATAAAAATCTGTTCCCTCCCATAAATAATTACATGTAAGGAACTTATGTTGACTTTGAACATTTATTATTTTACTTTTTTGTTTGAAAAATCAAACATTCATAAAAGTTTTAAAAATACCACCATACATATACACATACTTTTGACACTGGCATCCTTTTTGGTTGTTTGTTCCAGGGATTTAACTTAGTCCTAGCACTCTACTATTTGAGTCTCACCCCATTCTATTGGTATATGTCCTTTGCATCAAAGAAATTCAGACCTTAGAAGGTTTTAGACAGATACTCTACCACTGAGCCATGCCTTCTGTCCTTTAGAAAGTTGTAAAAGTTAAAACTGAATAGAAAAAAATCTTATCAGCTAGGTGCTAGTGCTTACTCCCAGCTAATCCTAGCTAATCAGAAAGTTGAGAGCTGGAGGAATCAAATTCCAAGTCAGCAGAAAAGTCTACAACACATGTCTACAAGTAACCAGTAAAAAGCCAGTCCGGATGCATGGCTCAAGTGGTATAGTTCTAGCTATGAGCAAGAAAGCTGGGAGAGAGTATAAAGCCTCAGAATCAACACAGACACACATACAAAAAAATTATATGATGCAGAGACTGGCTCCAGTGTCTTATTCTATAATCCTAACTACTCTTGCAGTTGGAAGCCAGTCCATGCAGGAAAGTCTGTGAAAATCTTATCTACATTTAACCACCAAAAATAGCAGAAGTGGAGTTATAGCTCAAGTAATAGTGTTAGCCTTGAGAGGAAAAAAAAGCTCAAGGTCAGCATCCAGGTCTTGTGTTCAAGCCCCAGGACTGACATACAAAAATAAAAGAAAAAGAGGAAAAAAAGGCTGAAACAACTGTCTTTATGTGTAGGAGAAGTGATGCTTATAACATGTCTCGTACATTCAGATGATTTCATGTGCCTAGGTGCTACCATGTCACCACACTACCATCCTTTATTAATTTACAAAATGTGGACAATAATAGCCATCTATCACAGGCATTGGGTACCTTTTGGATAGAAATGCATTTGATACACTTAGCAAAGTACATGGAACATAGTAATATATTATCATTATCATTACTCTTATTTACAAAACCTTTACTGTGTTTAAGGTTATTCTTTAGCTAGGTTCCCAGGAAGAATTACTATAATAAAGATAATAGATAATAGCTATTAAAACTATATCAATTGATACCTACCAAAACTTACTGTATTGCTATCATAAGTTTTAGTAATATTTTAATCAGAAAGAAATTTTCATGGCAAGAAAATAAAAATCACATTACTATTTTAATGTATGGTCTTTGTGGTTAACTAAGGTTGGGCATTATTTTTGTAGCTTGTTCCTTTTCAGGTGAGGTACTGTGGAGGTTGAACTCAGACCCTTGACCTTACTAAGCAAGCACTTTACCATTTAAGCCACACTCCCAACTCTTTATTTTAATATGATTTTTATTGTAAAAATACTGTACAGAGGGTTCCAGTTACATGACCAAGGTAATGAGTACATTTCCTACCAAGCATTGTTACCTCCTCCTTTGTTTTCCCCCTACCCTCCCTTCCCTCCCACCTCCATAACTACACTCCCACCCTCCCCCCTCCCGGCCTATATTGTAAAGTTCATTTTTCAACATAGTGACTTGTACATCTCATTGTTACAATGGCTCAGCCTGTATCCCTATTTAAACATTTTGTTTTTCCCTTCCACTCCTCAAATTATACTGACATCAAATAGAGTGAAAACAGGGGTTATATCATGGGGGAGGAACATACAAAGCAAGAAAAAAATCACATGGTACATTATAAATACGTTAGAAACAATAGCAAGAAAGAAAAAAAAACACATGTGTCCCTATCTTGGGGTTCATTTCACTTAACTTCATCTTATCTGGTCATATGTACATAGCTTTTGACCTTTTCTGCTTGTCCTAGACATATACTAGTTATTGCAAATAAGGGAAACCATGGGACCTATATTTCTTTGGGCCTGGCTTATTCACTTAATATAATTTTTTCCAAGTCTTTCCATTTCCTAACAAATGGGGCAATGCATTCTTTCTGATTGAGGCATAGAATTCCATTGTGTGTGTGTGTGTGTGTGTGTGTGTGTGACATTTTGCATTAGTTATTTTTCTAGTAGGGTCTCACTTTTTGCCAATGCAACTCTAGCCCTCGATCCTCCTATTGACACTTCCTGCCTAGCTAGGATGACAGGTATACACCACAGGTAGCATTCTGTTGGTTGAGATGGGGGTCTCAGGGACTTTTTCATCTGGGCTGATCTCAATCTAAGGTCCTTCTGATCTCTACTTCCTGAGTAGCTAAGATTACAGGTGTGATCCACCAAATCAGGCTACAGTTTGTTACATTTTCTAATCAATTAATTATGTCTCCTGTTAGCAGCATTAAATTGTATACATCATTTCTGACATTATTTACATTTCTTCTTTGCATTGCTAATGACTAACACACTTAAAAGCTATTTTTGAAAGCTTTTTTTGAGGGGGGGTCCAGTTGTGGGCCTGAACTCTGGGCCTGGGAGCTGTCCCTCAGCTCTTCAGCTCAAGGCTAGTGCTCTACCACTTGAGCCACAGCTCCACTTCTGGCTTTTTTCTTTTTGCTTATGTGGTGCTGAGGAATTGAACCCAGGGCTTCATGCATGTGAGGCAAGCACTCTACCACTGAGCCACCTTCCCAGCCTTATTTTTGAAAGTTTTATAGCTAACAATTTAAAATATAAACTTACTGTAAGTACAGCAGCAATCTTCTTGGCTACAGATGGAGCAATTTGTAAAGCATGAGAAATCTGCCAGCCTTCCAGATCAAATATAACCTTGACTCCATTCCGCTGAGTTTCTGGCTCCTGAACAATAAGCTCCGATGTGATTAGACTTACACGAAATACATCATAAGCTGTAAAAACTTTTGGGTCCCAGCAGGCTTTAAAACACACACACAGAGAAGAAAAAACACAGATCATGTATCAGTTTGTGTAAAGACTCAGAAAGGTTCTTTGGGGGAATTAATTCTTTTAAGACTGAAAGGATCAATAAAAACAAAAGCATGTACAAATGATCGTGAATTGAGTAATAGATTGCCTACACCAGAGAATAACTTTCCAAGGCAGAGAACATGGGAGGGAATAATAAATACAGGCTGTATTTGATGAGCAAGTAAATCCCACCTTCCCATGCAGGACAAGGAGTGCCTAGATACTGGCTATGCTTTGGCTATGCTTCAACCTTGTGCTTGGGCTATGTGCAGTAGTGCTAGTACCTTGGTAATTGCTGGGGTTTGGATGTGAAGCCTACCCAACTCAGGTGTTAAAGGCTTGGCTCCCAATGTAGCAGGATTCCTGTGTGGGGCTTTGGGGAGGTGATTGAGTCATGAGAGCTCTGATCTCAACAAAGGATTAATCCATTGAGGAATTCATAGCTTAATGGGCTCATGAGAATGGAGACCAGGCTTAGTTGAAGCAGGTGCAGGAAACATGCCCTTAAAGGGCACATTTTGTCCCAGGCTACTTCCTCTCACTCTTAAGCTCCCTCACCTGGCTGCCATAAACAGCTTTCCTCCACTGTACATTGGTAGCCATGGACTGAAACCTTCTAAACCATGAGCCGAAATAAACCTTTCTTCCTTTAAGCTTTTTCTCAGGTACTTTCATCATAGCAACTATCAGCACAACCAAAGTAGGGGCTGAGGAAAATCTAGAAAAAAGCAAGTAGACAGGTTTGTCCTCCCACAGCTCTCAGGGACAGGTAATCTGTCCATACAGGCCTGAACAGGAAAGGGAGAGCTAGAGAAGCACCCAGGCAGCTGTACACACCCTGACCACACCTCCCACCATTTGCCCAGCATCCCTGAGATGCCCAGAGCCTGGAAAAGTACAAGACCATAGCTGAAAAATTAAAGTCTGAAGGTGTGGCTCAACTGGTAGAGCAATTATCTAGCAAACACAAAGCCTAGAGTTCAAACCATAAAAACACCCAAAAAAGTGAGATTAAAAAAAAAGATAGAGATGAATACCCTGTTTAACATGAAGATAAAATGATACTTTTGCAATGAATTTCAGAATATAAAGGGTGAGTAAAACTGCAAATCAGATGCAGAAGAGCAGACTACACCGAATTATAAGGATTCAGAGCTTCAGAAGAGGATACTTCAAAACAGAGGAAATGGCTCTCTGTGTTGAAAGGGAAAGTAAAGTAGAACTCAGGTGATTCATCTGATTAGATGGAAAGGTCTCTGGAGATTACCTCAGGTCTTTTCAGTAGAGATGGGAATTAAATCAGGCCAAGACAGACAGAGGAGGGATTGTGAGTTAGTATGGACAATGAGATGGCTAACTGAAGTTTGTCTGGAATACCAAAGGGGAGACAGAGGTGACTCGAGGGAAGATGAAGAATGTTGTGGGAGTAAGGAGGGTCTGTCTTACCCTGAGTTGTGACTTGTCACAAGAAAGAGAAAGAAAAATGCGGAGGCCAAGTTTATTAGCAAAGACAGACCAAGTACAAAACCCAGACCTGGAGATAGGCACATCTGACAACAGGTGCAATGGATGCATTACCATCATGAGGATTTATGGTGGAAAAGTAGGTTGCGGGGAGGGTTGGCTCAAATTCACATTAGTATAAGTGCTCCTTTCTGTTCTAACACCTGGTAAATTCTGTTACTTTTGCTGTTACATTGTCTAATCAATTGAGGTTTTAAGAGTTAGGAGGAAATGGCTTTCGTTTTTCAGCATTAAGTATGATGCTGGCTGTAGGTTTGTCATATACAGCCTTTATTGTATTGAGAAATGTTCCATGAATTCCTAATTTTTCCAGAACCTTCATTATAAAGGGGTGTTGGATCTTGTCAAACTTTTTCTGCATCTATTGAGATAACCATCTGCATCTATTGAGATAACTATGTTATCTCAATCCTTGCTCTTCTTGATGTGATGAATTATATAAATTGATTTGCGTATATTGAACCAGCTTTGCATCCCTGAAATGAATCCTGTTTGATTGTGGTGTATGACTTTTGGGATGAATTGTTGAAGTTGATTGGCCAAAATTTTGTTGAGAACTTTTGCATCGATGTTCATCAAAGAAATGAGTCTATAGTTCTCTTTCTTTGATGAGTCTCTGCCTGGTTTTGGGATGAGGGTTACTATGGCTTCATAGAGAGTTCGGTGTGAACTTTGCTGGAGGGGATGTGGACAGAAGGGAACCTTACTGCATTGTTGGTAGGAGTGTAAACTTGTTCAACCACTTTGGAAAGCAGTATTGAGGTTCCTCAAAAGACTCCACATAGAGCTCCTCTATGACCCAGCAATCCCACTTTTGGGCATTTACCCAAATGATCACAAACAAGACCATACTAAAGCTACCAGCATAACTATGTTTATTGCAGTATTATTTACCATAGCTAAGATCTGGAACCAACCCAGATGCCCTTCAGTAGATGAATTGATCAAGAAAATGTGGTATTTATACACAATGGAATTCTATGCCTCCATCAGAAAGAATGACATTGCCGCATTTGTTAGGAAATGGAAGCACTTGGAAAAAATATATATTAAGTGAGGTAAGCCAGGCCCAAAGAAACATAGGTCCCATAGTTTCCCTTATTTGCAATAACTACTGTATGTCTGAGACAAGCAGAAAAGGTCAGATAAGTTGATGCTAGGTGAAATGAACCCCAAGATAATTATTCAAATATTTTTCTTTCATGCTATTTATTTATTTATTTATTTATTTTAATTTTTATTTATTTTTATTGTGAAAATACTGTACAGAGGGGTTACAATTACATGGGCAAGATAATGAGTACATTTCTTATCAAGCATTGTAGCCTCCTCCTTTGTTTCCCCTTCCCATCCCTTTCCATCCTCCCCTGCCCCCCAAATCCTCCCCGCCCCCCCCAAAGTTGTAAAGTTTAAATAAGGATAAAGGTGGATCCGTTGCAATGATGAGAAGTACAAGTTGTTATGTCGAAAACGAACTTTACATCTTTCATGCTAATGTTTCTAACATATTTATAAAATGATTTCTTTGTTGCTTTGTATGTCCCTCCCCCAGGTATAACTCCTGCTTTCACTGTATTTGATGTTGGTATAATTTATGGAGGGGAAGGGAAAAAACAAATTGTTTAAATAGAGATACAGGTGGACCCAGTGCAACAATGAGATGTACAACTCATTATGTCCAAAAATGAACTTTACAACTTTGATGGGGGAGGGGGAGGAATGTGTGTGGGGAATATGGGAAGGGATAGGAAGGGGAAACAAAGGAGGAGGCAACAATGCTTGATAAGAAATGTACTCATTAACACATTTATAAGATTACTTCTTTGTTCCTTTGTATGTCCCTCCCCCACAGTATAACTCCTGCTTTCACTGTATTTGATGTCGGTATAATTTGTGGAGGAGAAGGGGAAAAACAAGTCGTTTAAATAGGATACAGGTGGACCTGTTGCAACAATGAGAAGTACAAGTAGTTATGTCAAAAACGAACTTTACAACTTTGGTTCAGGGGGTTGGAGAGGATTGGATGGGGGGATGGGGTGGGGGATGGGAAGGGGAAACAAAGGAGGCTACAATGCTTGATAAGAAATGTACTCATTATCTTGCCCATGTAATTGTAACCCCTCTGTACAGTATTTTCACAATAAAAAATAAATAAAAATTTAAAAAAAGAAATGTACTCATTATCTTGCCCATGTAATTGTAACCCCTCTGTACAGTATTTTCACAATAAAAAATAAATAAAAATTTAAAAAAAGAAATGTACTCATTATCTTGCCCATGTAATTATAATTCCTCTGTATGGTATTTTCACAATTAAAAAATACAAAAAAAAAAGAGGTTTCAAGATTGGCCTGATCACTTCACATGGTTTATTGATTTCTGAGCATCTCTTTAAAGGATACATTCGGCCAGATACTTCCTTCACAACAGATGTCCATCTATGGGACCAATATTTTTCTTTGCAAACACTTTCTGTGCCCAGAGGACTCATTTTCCCAACTTTTGTTTTTCCCCCAGAATTAACTCTTTAGTATATGATTGCTTAGTACCCAGAGCACATTTATTATTTGGACATACAGGTAAGGTCAGAGGGAGAGAGCTGCTCTTCTTCCTCTTCCTCCTACTCCTTCTTCTACATGTTGCCATTCATAAAGGAGTACAAGGTTTAAAGCAAGGAACATGGTGCTTTTAAAAAAAAGTTTATTGTAAAGGTGATATACACAGGGGCTGCAGTTAATGAGTACATTTCTGTTTGAACAGTGTCACCCCATCCCTCACTTTCTCCCAGGTTTTTCTCTCCCAACCCCATCCCCCTCCCCCATCAAGTTATACAATTCATTTCCAACACATGGTGCTTCTGCTGTTTTATTTTGGATCTTTTGTGCTGGTCCTGGGGCTTGAACTCAAGGCCTGGGTTGTGTCCCTGAATTTTTTTGCTCAAGGCTAGTGGTCTGCCAAGGAAGATAATTAGAGATAAGATTCTCACAAACTTTCCTGCCTGAACTGGCTTCTCACATCAGTTCTCAGGTCTTAGTTTTCCTGAGTAGCTAGGATTACAGGAGTGAGCCACCAGCACCTGGCAATCATTGTGTGCTTTATATCAAGCGCTTTAATATAGTTTGTCCTACATTCTTGACTGCTGTGTCTCATGCCTCCTTTTTTATGATCTATTCTGCCTCAGTTCTACCTTAAATTGCCTGTCCTGCCAGCACGGGAGGTTGGGGGGAGAATCTGTGCATTTTATTACTTAACTTCACAGAGTTGATATGGTCTACACTACCTGGTAAGTACCCACACTAAGGTACTACTGAAAAGCTTCCACAGATTTCTTTCTTTAGCTACTCCATTAATTCAATTAAATTAGAAAACTTACAACTCTTTATTCTGTTATTTTGTTTCCAAAAAAACTCTTCTAAGTATTTTTCTTTTCATCCTAGAATAATATAACACCACAAACATATATCTTTTTTGTTCTAACCCTCATTAAACCTAGATGTTTTCTTGATTTTAAGATCTCTTTGAGTTAACACACTTTTAAAACTAATATTCTGTAATTGATCCAGGCTACACAGTATATCAGTTCATTTATTTGGTTAAGGCATTTATGATCAAAATAACACATTGCTTTCTTATGATCTGCTGGCTTTTGTTTTAGGTTGTTTCTTTTTTTCTCTCTCTCTTTCTCCCTTTCTTGCCAGTCCTGGGGCTTCAATTCAGGGCTTGGGCACTGTTTCTGAGCTTCTTTTTTCTCAAGGCTCACACTCTACCACTTGAGCCATAGCGCTACTTCCAGTTTTTTCTGTTTATGTAGTACTGAGAAATAGAACTCATGGCTTTATGCATGCTAGGCAGGCAAGCACTCTACCACTAAGCCACTTTCCTAGCCCTCATAGTGCTGCTTTTATTTCTTGTTTTGTCTCAGGTAGTTCATGAACAAACCACAGGAGTAAGGGAAGAAGACAAGACAAAAGTAAGGAGACCACTGTGGCTCAAGTGGTAGAGCACTTGCCTTGAGCTGAAGAGCTGAGGGACAGCGCCCAGGCCCAGAGTTCAGGCCCCATGACTGACAAAAAAAAAAGTAAGGAGACCTGTGGTTCATCTGGTAGAAAGTCAGCCTTAAGTTAATATGCCAAGTAAGAGTGTGAGGTCCTCACCACCAGTACCACCAATAATAATAATGGCAATAATAATAGATTGTGTATTGGGCATATTATGTACTATCAAAAGTTCTAAGATAACAAGTTATGTGCTTTGAATTTCTTTGTACATATTTAGCAATTCTGAGATTTTAAAATGTAAAGTGAAGAACCAAGTGCACATAATCATGTAGGGCAATTTTTCTTCTTGTTGCCTTTGATCATTCTGGTTGAATTTTTTATGATACCAGAACACTCTATTTCAGTTTGTTCCCAACCATAATAAATATTGGATAAATATAACAAAAAAAAAAGATTGTGAGGTCCTGTATTCAAGTCCTACTATGAACCCTCCCTCTAAAATCAAAACAAAACATAAAAAGGAAAAGAAAATATAAAGAAGGCAGAATTGACTGATAAAATAAAACCTGGTTAAAGTTGAATTTCAGATAAATACGATGTTTTTTAAACGTATTAATGTGTTTGTATATATATATATATATATATATATATATATATATATATATATATATATATCCTATGTGCACTAAAAATTAGTACTCCAGAACCATGGGAACTGAATTTCTATTTTTGTAGTTTTATTAGAGTAGCCTGAACAGAGAAGAAACCAATGTATAGGAAACACCCAAAACACATCAGAATAAAAGGGAAAAGTGAGCCAGGTGCTAGTGGCCCATGCCTGTAGTCCTAGCTACTTAGGAAAATGAGATTTGAGGGTTGCTGTTCAAAGCCAGCCCGGGCAGGAAAATCCTGAGAGACTCATCTCCAGTATTAACTGAAATCCAGAACAGAACCCTAGCCTTGAACAAAAAAAAGCCCAAGGACAGTGACCAGGCGCTGAGTTCAAGCCTCATGACCAAAAAAAAGGAAAAACAGTGAAAAGAATGAGGAGCTAGTGGGAAACAATGTCTGCAACACTTTCTAGGGTGTAGGTTATTCACTGCTCTAGACGTCACTGTTTACACACTCATCCCATAAATGTTTCATGGGAACATTTCACATACTATACTCTCTTCTCAGTGCTTCAGATACCTCAGTATAACAGGCAAGATGCTGTGATTTCCTGGACTTGGTATTATTAGTCATTCAGAATTGATTTTTTTAATATTCTTTCTACACATTTTTAAAACAATTCATCTTGCTCATTTTTTTACTTTTGCTCACCATATCTCTTCTTATTCTGCACTTCTTTTATAAAGTTGACTGTATGGGAAATGGAATTAGGATTGTCACATACTTCTGTTCAAATTTTCACAACTACTAAAAATGTGTTATAGCTGAGGACTGTTATAAACAAAATTAAACCTAAGTTAATCCTAAAGACATAAAACATGAATTCTCAACAATAGTCCCATTGAAGCTTTCTATATGGCAGCCAAGAAAATAAAAATAGAAGGAAAGAGGCAAAGGAAAGAGGAAGAGGAAGAGATGGGGGAAGAAGAAGAGCTGTATATGACTCACCAATTCGATAAATAAGAACTTTACTGCCTGTGAGGTCCCTTGATCTCAGAACTCCATGGTAGCCAGCGTTCAGAAGGCCAAGAATACTTCTGGGGTGCAGATCTGCACTTATTTCTGGACACTCTGCTCTCCATTTATAATAGTTTTTTAGTAACTGAAAAAAAATTAAAATTAGCCATAAACAACATACAGGGTAAATATTTTGTAACAGCAGTAGAGGCTGGAGTTATGGCTCAGCGGAACCTTGCCAGTCTATCAAGTGTGAGGCTCTGAATACAAATACCAGTATTTTTTTAAATGTTTAATTATTACACAAACACACACACACACACACACACACACACACACACACACACAGAGAGAGAGCAATAGGAAAGCCCTGACATTGTATATGAACCTTACCAGCCATTGTCAGGATTTTGGATAACTTTATAGCTATAACCCCAAAATTCAAGTTTGAGTAATTTTCACTGTACACCCATATTAGATAGTCTTTACAGACAACCAACAACAAGTCCGCCCCTCCTAAGGTTCACATGCATCCCTTTCAGAAAGAGGTGAGATCTATTTTATACCATCCACTTAAAGGTATACTTGCCTTACAATTTGCTCTGATTAATAGAAATGTATGACATTGTATTAGACTTTTAAGGGAAAAAAAATCTGAACTGGGCCAGCATCTCACATCTGTACCTTAGCTACTTAGGAAGCTGAGATATGAGGGTCTCAATTAAAAGCCAGCTGAGGCAGGACACCCTGTGAGACTCTTATCTCCAATTAACCACCCAAAATGCAGAAATGGTGATATGGCTCAAGAAGCAAAGTGCTAGCCTTGAAGAAAAGAGCGCTGGGACAGCACCAGGCTCTGAGTTCAAGTCCCAAGACAGGCACACACAAAACAAGCAAATAAAAAAATATAAATAAATAAATAATCTTGTTATTCAGAACTTTCACTTGAGGATCCAAACACCTGTAAGATTCCTAAATGGTAACTGGCCATGTGGAGAGACATGGATGCCTTCTCTGAAGGAGAAGATATTATCCTGATCACATGACTTCAGCCAACTTCTCATCTGATGCCACCCTGGATAAAAAAGACACCATTTGCACTGAGCCCTGCCGAACTAGAGAACACAAACAACTACAAAGTTGTGTTTTTCAACCAGTAAGTTACTTAGCAAGAAATAACTACAACACTACTTTTTGTACTACTTTGAAACATACTAAAATATGTTTTGAGACATACTAGAATAGGAATCAATCAAATTAATTAGGAGAACCAAAGGAGCAGTATACCTGAATAATAGATACAAGAACAAAAGAATCCTGTTTCCTGACATTACGGGATGGAATAGGAGAAACCCTAGGTCTCCTTGGCACAGGCCGAAATTTTCTTAATAGAGACCGGAAACACAACAAATCAAAGAAAGGCTGGACAAATGGGATTGCATGAAATTGCAGAGCTTCTGCATGGCAAAAGACATAGCTAGTAAAATCAATAGAAAGCTCATGGATTGGGAAAAGATCTTCACTACCCATACAACAGACAAGGGTCTCATATCTAAAATATACCTGGAACTCAAAAAATTAAATCCCCAACAACAAATCCTCAAAGAAACAACTGCCCGGTAAGTAAGTGGGCTAAAGACTTAAAGAGAAACTTCTCTGATGAAGAAAAAAGGATGTCCAATAGACACATGAAGAAATGCTCAACATCCCTAGCCATAAAAGAAATGCAAATGAAAACAACATTGAGATACCACCTCACCCCAGTTAGAATGGCAAAAATCAAGAACTCTAACAGCAACAGATGCTGGAGGAGATGTGGACAGAAGGGAACTTAACTACATTGTTGGTGGGAGTGTAAACTTGTCCAACCACGTTGGAAAGCAGTATGGAGGTTCCTCAAAAGATGCCACAAAGAGCTCCCCTATGACCCAGCAATCCCACTTTTGGGCATTTACCCAAATGATCACAAACAAGACCATACTAAAGCTACTAGCACAACTATGTTTATTGCAGCATTATTT